TTTACAAGTTCAGGGTAAACACGTTTTTCAAATGTAAAGCAGTCTCAACTGTTTAAAGCACAACCATAGGCAATCAGAGGGATGCAAGAAAAAAAAAAACAAGCACTTTGCGAGACTTAAATAAAGCATGTAATAAATACGAATCATAAACTTCTGTACACAGGAGCAAGGGTTTGGGGTTCTTTTTAATCATTTAATCAATATAAAAAAGTTTTTCTGCTTTGTTTTTGTTTTCAGTGCATCTTCTTCCTCTTAAAATGCTTAACCCTTTCCTTTCTGCATCTCTCAGGCCCATAATAACGCACACCTAAATGGCAAAAAAGACAAGGTCTAACAAACCCCTTTCCAAAAAACTCTAAAAAAATATTCACAGCCTCAAACATTTTTGTACATTTCAAGCAACAAAAGGTATAGAAAAAGGCACAAGTAACTGCATACATGTGGAGATAATACCAGACTGGGACAAAGAAAACCAGGAATCTTCCATGGGTTTGGTCATTCACTAGAGTGCTTCTTATAGCGATGATTATACTAAAGGAAATAGTGTTGAAAATGTCTGTTGATTTTACATAGGAAGCCTAAAGGTGGAACAGATGGTGGAGGCTTAAGTACTTCCCGTGTTTTCATCCACCTTGTTTTGAGTTTGACCTAAATCTGCGTGCTCTAGGTGTGGACTGCTCTTCCTGGAGGTTCCCCCTTGGCGACTGGGCTCTCCGGAGAGGTTTCTCCTCCGGCCGGAGAACGGCTGGGCGTGCGAATGGCTCAATGAGGGCTCTGAGAGGCAGCCGGTGCTGCTGCTTCGGTCCAACGGCTGGGAGGGGAGATCTGAGATGAAAGTGCAGGATGATTCAAAAGAAGTGCTCGAGCTGCCAGATTGCTTCTTGCCCGTTTTTTTCAAGGGTTCTTCCCCGCTTGTCGAAGGCTTTGGAGAGTGCTTGTCAGTTGTGCTGGGGCTGGCTGGGGATGCCGAGCAGCCTGCCTGCTCCGCGTAGCTAGACTCAGCGAACATTTTTACCCTGTATTCCTCCTGGTCTGTCTTTTGCTGAAGCTCACTAGTCCTCATTTTCTCTTCTAAGTAACCACTGCTCGTAAGCTCTGTGGACAGTGTGTATTTAGAAACCTTTGCAACCGGGGAGACGGATGCTGACGACGGCTCCCGTGGGACCTGGGGTTCCTCGTCCCTCTCGGAAGCCCGGCTGAACTCTGCGAAGCCGCTGCCACCAGAGGCAAAGTATCCTGCTTGCAGGGACACAACTGAACTGGGCACCAAGCTGGGATGGGTGCTTGGCCTCGCCTGGACCATCTGGATGCCCCCAATGGGAATCATAGGATACGGGGTCCTCGTGAGCTGCTGCGAATGCAACGGGAGATGGCTGAAGACATTCTCCTCCCCTCGGCTGGGAGCGTGGACATGTATTTCATGAGGTGCCTGCAAGGGTCTGGAGCAGATGGGCTGCGTGACGCCAGGTGAGCATGTTGGGCTTCGTGGTTCTATCTTCTGCACCGGAGAGGGAAAAGAAACAGCTGAATCAGTGCAACGTACAAGTTACATCATTAATGCTCACTATAAGGACTGATTTTGTTAACATTTTATTCTAATCTGAGGGAGATCAATCAACCGAGGAAGATTTGGACCCCCAGACCTTTAAGGTAAGGAGCAATACAACCTGGAGCATTTGCCTCTGGGTACAAAAATGCTCATGGTCTGTTGGGGCACAGATCCAGGGCTTTGGTTCAGGCTTGGATCATTATAAAATCATAGAATGGTTTCAGTTGGAAGGAACCTTTAAAGGTCACCCTGCAATGAGCAGGGACATCTTCAACTAGATCAGGTTGCTCAAAGCCCTGTCCAACCCAACCTTGAATGTTGCCAGGGATGGGGCATCTACAGCCTCTCTGGGCAACCTGTTCCAGTGTTTCACCACCCTCATCATAAAAAATTTCTTCTTTATATTTAATCTGAATCTACCCTTTTTTAGTTTAAAACCATTACCCCTTGTCCTATTATCAGAGTTGCCTCTGAAACCCTGGCAGAGGATGCCAGGGTTTCCTGCCATATGAGCCACTTTGGATCCCTTTCAGTACATGGGGTTTCTGAGAGCCCAGAATAATGTTATTTATTTTTACTGTACTTTCTTAAAGCAGGATTACATCCTTACAGCTGCTAATTGCAAGGATGTTTTGGACCGAGTGAGAGATAGCATTAACTCTCATCTGACACAAAGCACACCCATCAGTGTGGACCCCACCACCACCCTCATGGTGTGGTCCGCAGAAATCAAGGGTTAAGACCCTACCATTTTACCTTTTCCTCTTTCTCTCTCGGTGCTTCACATAGTTTCCTAATGTACATCATGGAGAGATATGAGGCTAAACAGAAATGGATTAATTAGTGATGAGGTTATAACTAAACCCCTAAACAGGACTCCCAAGAAGAGGAAGCAACAGAAACTGAAATCAATTTTCCATTAAGATGGGGTTAGCTATAAAATTTGAGGATTCACTGGAGGGCATATTTCTTTGTAGGATTATGGAGAATTGCCTGACCCTGTGAGCTGGATCTCTATGAAGTGGCGACAGAGGAAAGCAGCAAAAGAGAGCAGAAGAGAGAGAAAGCAAGAGCCACTGAAGATAGTGTATACTTGGTCAGCAGTTAGAGGCCCAAACACTTGTTAAATCTCACTTATCCACATGAAGCCTTGGCAGAATCACTATTGGGATGCTGGGAAACCCCCAAACAAATCATCTCAATGGTGCAACAGCCACCAGAAGAAGAGACTACCTACTGCAAGAGCCAGTGGGAAGAGACATGGTCACAATCAGGCCTGATGCACAGCCTTGGCAGAGAGCCTTACACTGAAGCTAAGCTAAGGTCATCTCCAAGTTTCTAAGCAATGCATAGGGCACCAGTTTTGAGCACAGAGATTCATTTGGGATCTGATAAATCCACTTCCGATCTTTCTGTCTCTTGTAGCCTTACCAGGAACATAATTTTGCAAGGAAAGCCCAGCTGTCCAGCTCACTGATAAATGGAAAATTTCCTGCTCAGGTCTTTATTGTTGCTTTGGAGGCACATGAGAAAAACAACAGTGGTGACTTTGGGTGCATAAAAGGAGCAGAAAAATGGAGCAAAAAGGTATGTGGGTGAGAGCGTAACTTAAAAGGTGTGAACAGGCAGACAAGCAGGGGTATACAATACTGTGTCCTACTGTGGACTAGGGAGCTTAAGGGATTTTCTACAAATAGTGGCAGTGGGCAGTTTTCCTGACAGAGATGCTTTAGAGTTGAAGGACCAGGATTTCCACAGCCCTGAGATTCACCACAAGAAGTTAATTGACAGGAAAGGGAAATATCATTAAAGTAAGCAAAAGTCTGGACCTAAAACAAAGGATAGTCTCTGAGAAGGTAGGACAAACACTCATAGTGGAAAGCAGAAGGAAGGCAGCACCAAAAGACGGTACATTATCATAGACATGGAAGAAACGCATACTGGGCAGCGTGGCTTTTCTGGAGAAGACCTGGGTCAGCATCTGCCGTGACAGGTTCTCCAGGGGTTGTATAAAGGCCTCTCTCTTCCCAGTGCAGTCCCTAAGGGCTCGAGTCTCTCCTCACACCAGTTTCACAGCAGAGCAACTCCAGCAACTGAATCTCATGTTCATCAGCACAAATTACAGGAGAGCCAGGCACTTCAGTAGAAATGAGAAACGTTCCACCAAACCCGATGTCTAATTTGCCTGTAGCAGTGGGAGGAACACGCAATTTTCCTTTACCCATAGGATTTGATATGTCCAGCAGAGAGATTAAATAATTTTCTGGACCCAGTGGGAAACACTTCTCTGTGCTGAAGAGAGAAGCGAGATGAAATCAGAGATGTCCAAACAAACATTTCTCAACAGTTAATCTAACAGAGTTGGCTGTGTATGTACATAGCCCAGGAGTCAGCAATAGAGTGCAATGGCTAGTTCAGATCTGGTTCAGGTCACTGACCAGTGAAAAATGGTCACAGCTTCACCCCAGCTGGTGAAATCTCATAAATGGGTATGAAATTCCCAGGAAAAAAAAGCCTTTTAGTGACAACTAGTCATTATTAAGCAGTCATCCTTACTGCTTGCCTCAGCAGGAGACTGATTGGGTCAGGAGTGTAAATAATCCCTGGGAGAAGGGACAACTTTATCTTCAACTGAGAGGGGCAGGACCAAAATGGGTTCAAAACCCATTGCTGTCCACTGTCACTTTTCTCTGGGTTACGTGTGACATCGTTCACAGTCAGAGTCAGTGTGCACTGCTGCATTGCAGGCTTCATTAAAAAACATATCAGAGAACGTACTACAGGGACTAGAAGGCAAGAGGGGCTTGAACTTACCAGCTTGGACTCGTAGAGCTGTACGTTTTTGCCAAAGAACCTGTGAGGTAGAGGCATCGAAGATAATATCCCATGCTGGGCTAGATATGAGCTTTGAACTTTGTCATCTGCTGCTGATTTGCTAGTACCAGGCAAGTCCTCTTTCCCGGGGGATGGATACCTAGCTGACTCTGAACAGCCTGGAGACAAGACTTTCTTCAGCGATAAATATCTGACTGATGACATCTCTCTGCTTGGCGACGAGTGCCTCACAGGGGAGACTTCTCCTTCTGGTGGAAGGTATGTTCTTGGGGACAGGTCTCTTCTGGGGGAAAGATGCCTGCTGGGCGACAGCTCAAGTCTTGGTGACACACATCTCAGTGGAGATGCCTCCCTCCTGGGAGAGACGCGCTGGCAAGGAGACAACCCTCTCCCTGGAGACAGGCACCTTAGAGAAGACAGTTCTCCAGTTGGTGAAAACCGTTTCGGTGAAGTTTCATTTTTGGTTAATAGGTGCTTTCTCGCTAGCATTGGTCTGCTGCTGCCACCACCTCTGCCAGAGTCCTGGCTCGGAGACCACCTTTTTCTTGGGGAGGTGTCTTTTGAGGTTGACAGGTCCATAACTAAGGACATCTGTGGCCTTGTGACAGACTCTCTTTCAGCAGAAGCCAATTGTTCGGTGGAGGTCAAAGCTGGTCTGTGGAGACTCAAGAAGCTGTGGCACACAGCAATGTCACTGCTGTCTGCTGACCACTTTGTTTCCAGCCCTGAGGAGGAGGCCTGCTGGCCTTCACCTACTTTTTGGCTGCTGGAAACAGTTTCTTGGGCTAAGGACAAAGCTATTTCGGTGCCTTCCTCTTGAGAAGATGGAGAGCCACCTGAAGAGTGCATCGCGAGGGTGGTATGCTTGCCTTCTGGCAATTTTAAAGGTGGCTCATCTTGGCTCTCCTCTTCCTCCTCATCTTCCTCATCTTCATTGTCATCATCATCGTCAGATTCCTCTAGGTCTGAAAACTGGTGTTCCTCAGTTGGCTCAGATCCCTCCCGCCCCTCAGAGTCCTGGAATAGGTCTTCACTGGTTCCTGAAGGGATGGGCAAACACAAAACAGAGAATGTAAAACACGCATACAGGGACTATTTTTGTGCTAAATCTGTTTAAAAGTTCTAAGGACCTGGCTATTTCCTAGATCTGATCAGCTCGTGCTTTGAAGCCTGCAGTCTTGCCCTCTGTGCCAACTCCAGTCCTGATGATCCCAGTAGATCCCAGTGAATCCTACCATTGGGAACTCCCACTCCACCCTAATTTTGGTTCCAGACGTTGCTCTGTCAACACATGCAGCCATCAGTCCCTGCTTCTGCTGTGCACCTTCACACACCCTGCCTGCCTTTCTCTAGAAATGCAAAAAAGGCTCTTAATAGATGAGGAGAACAGCAGCACTAACATCCTTTGGTGGGCTTTTTAGGACTATTTGTTGCAATGGTGCCTACAAAATATCTACAGCTGCCAAAGTATGGGAAAGTTGCTGGGATGACTGCTCCAATCCTCCACGTTAGGTCTTTTCCTTGCCTAGACTATGTGACAGTTAAACATTAGTGAGACTGGACTTTTTTTAAAAAGGAAACAATGGGGTTGAAAGAACCTCTGTAGCTTTTCCCTTATTTTGATAAATTCTGGTTATGATGCAGATGCTTCTTTGTGGCAAAGGCTTTTGCTGTCTACCTGTGGAAGGACTTGCACAGGCATGCTTTGTTAATAACAGCTTGTAAATAATGAGGAGTATACCGAAAGCAAATTCTAAAGGATTTGAAATATATCTGCAGGTAAAAATACAGCATCTCTCTTCTACTTCAAGAACCAGCGGAAGTTCCCAAGCAGATCACTGCCGGCTCGCCCACTGCTCGGCTCTGCACTGAGAAAAACCTGCATTTCCCTGTGCCAGATGTGCAGGGATCCCGGCAGAAATGCAAGCTCAGCCTGAAGAGGTCCATCGGGAACAGCCACTGGATGTCACTGTAGCTCAACAAAATTACACTGTCAGGAGGCTTTCCTGCAAGTCCCCACTGCTCTGGAGGGGCTAATAAAATACCGGTTTCTCAAACTCTGCTTGTGCCAAACACCAAGACGATGAGGGCAGAGCTGCTGGGACACGCTTGGTCCCCGCCTTTGGAAGGAGAGTGCCTGGATGCTGCTCTGACACCTGCGTGAAGCCGGGTAACTAATTGCAGCACTGCTGGCCTCTTTTCCCCATCAGTTCAGCCTAGGACACTGTTTCTCCTCTGATGAACACTGAAACGGTTTTCCATTTAGAGCTGCCATCTGTCAGCAGGACGAGCTGGAAGGGAAATTAAATGGAGCCAACGCTGAGGCTGGACCACACCTGCCTGCAGCAGGCAGGGTGGTTTTCAGAAGGGGACATGGCCACACAGTGAGAAGTCACTGTGATCTGTGGATAAAAAGTCTAATTTTGTTTACTTTGAATAACAGGACCTTACTAATAAATGCTCATGAAGTATTTGGGATTACCAGAGAAATAAGACGTGTATATTACCATGGCTGATTATCCATCCAAGAGTCGGCCTGAAATGCATCTCATTTGCTCTCCACCCTGTTTCAAAAGTATCTGTTCACTAGTCCATAAAGCGAGACCTACTGCAGAACTCATACAGCATCGAGTCGAAGTCAGCAGCTCTCCAGCAAGAGGCTGACTTGCATTGTGAAATGCTTGTATAATGATGGTGTTTGCTGGACCCAGCATCCAGTGGCAGGTTGTTTGCAAACTCCCAAAGGAACTGAGCTCAGAACAAATATTACTCCAAATGACCAGTTCTCCCAGCCGTAGGGTGAACTGTGCATATTTCTTGCTTTGCAAAGGAATGCATTTCACTACCAGAGCTATGAGCTAGTCCCTGTCTCTGGTTTTGGGGTTCGACATCTATGGGCTTCGGATGGACAGGCAGCTATAGCCTCAGCCTCCACGGCGTGGCTCTGACAGCCTTGTCCTGTGTGGCCTCCTTTTTTGGCCCCGGTCACACAATGGACAGGCGCTGGCCAGGACAGAGAGCAAGGTCAGAAGTATGGAGTGAGGGAAATGCGAAGCCAGCTCCACACTGGGGAGTTGTTTGCATTTGCCACCGAGGGAAACATTTCAGGGAGTCCTGGGACAGCCCAAAGGGAATTTGCTTTGGCTCCCTATCATGCTCCTTGCAGGCAGAAAGAGAGCTCAGACCTGAGCCCTGGCTTCTTGCAACTGAAATTAATTTTGCTGAGCTAATGGGCAGAGAAAGGGCAAGTCAGGAGAAGACAGAGAGGGAGGGAGAGATAGAGGAAGGAAGGAGAGAGGGAGCTAGTGAAAATGTGCCCTGTCGACGGCTTTTTCTGAGGGTTGCATTTCATTACACGTGTTATTCTACCAAACTGGTGTCATCACACCAAGCAAAACCAATGCAGGAGTGAAGAATTATACTCCAATTTCCTTTTATAGTAACACCCCTTACTTTCTCCTGCCCCTTAAATAGAAATAAAAACAATCAAGTGAAATATAACTCTAGTTTAAAATAATCCAGGGAGTTTTAGGAACTGCTGCTCCCTCCCTGCCTGCCCCCAAAGGAAAGCACAGCCATCTTCCTGCGCTGGTTTATGTCACATGGAAATGGTAATTTTTTTTTATTTTTTTTTTTAATTAAAATAGTCCTTGCTAGGCTCTGTTTTGAGCCTCTCTGTGGTTACACCGGGGAAGGCTCTTTCCAATTCACTACTCTCAAAACCGGGGATGCGTGATACAGCTGTGATCTCTGATTCCTCATGCACCTTTCTGCCATTTTTACATTATTTTCTCATCCATCCAAATAGCCCCAACCATTACAGTACAAAGTACAATTTTCTGACCATCTTCTTGGCTGCTTAATTTAGTGTTTACTTGGCATTTATGAGCAATGGGCCTCCTTACTCATGAGGCAGAATATTTGAAATTTCAGCAGAAATCCAATGTTAGCTTTAACCAGGTAAAAAAGAAGCTGGAAGGAAAGAAAGGAAACATCCTCCGATACCACGCCTTCCCATTTTCACCTTTCTGCATTCCTTCCTGGCAGACCGTCCCCTTTACACAAACACAAATGGTCTTCATCAATGGGAGGAAATGGGGACTGTATATTTTTTGTAATTCTAAAATTACACGGATTGCTTGCATAATGCAATGAAGTCCAGACAGTGCAACACGTTCCAGTGAGCAGCCACCCAGCCAACAGCAACAACGGGAGAGGAGTCCTTTCTGAAAGCTAATGGGTTCCTGTCCTCTGCAGTCCAGGTAGGGCCCATCCTTGCTGGGCTTAGCAGGTGTCCAGCCACCATGTGTTCAGCCACAAGCAATCAGGGACCAATGATTTAATGATGACCAAAAAAAAAGTCCCCCAGCTGATGGTTCCATCCTTTCCACTGAGTGCTTTCCCAGCCGACCTAGGGATGCAAGGCAGACCTTTCTTGGGCTTTTGTTTAGACCTACTCTTTCCATGAGGTCAAAAGCTGAGACCAGCTCAGCCTCATCACCTGCCAGATCTCCATTTTTGAAAGCAGAGTGCTCCCATCAGCTTACAGCCTGGACGGGCTTTCACACTGCTGAGTGCACTAGTATTAACGCTGTATGAGTCCAGGGATGAATGACTGAAGGAAATCATGAATGAAAGCATTCCCCTGGACTGGTGAAGTGAGCCCTTGCAGTTCTGTCCTCAGAAGCCTGCAATTACGTGTAACATAAACAGGACTTTTGATTTGCAGGTTTTCGAAAGTGACACTCAATTAATATGATTCATTAGTTCTAATTGACTATAATGGAAAGGTTTAAAATAACAGTTGTTCTTTTCAGAGTCATGCAACCAACATTTCAGGAGCCACTTTCCTCTTTCCCTCTCTAGTTTTGATCTGCAGAAGCATCACCGACGGGTGGTATAACAGCAGGGAGAGATTTCTGGAGACCATCAGTTAATCAATTATTTTAAGTGAGTTCCCAGGCTGAAGGAGTTCTCCAGCAATCCCACATGGGAGCAGCCTCCTGCTGCTCACACCACGCCAACACTTTTCCCTTGGGGCAGCTACTGCAAAATCCATGACTAGGTTTTCTTTTGGCCATGCCCTCCTTTGGAAAGGCCACGGCCAATTACAGCGTGTCTCTCCCTGATCAAAAGGTTGCTCTGAAGAGCTGGAGAAAAGCCAAGATTTCAAGCATATTTAAAAGGAAGAAAGCTGTCCCTTGAGGCAGAGCACTACACTGTCGGCCAGGTCAGATATCCTTAGCCTTTGTTAGATGTTTATTCTGCGTGGCCTGGGAGAGCCCTTTGTCCATCCCTGTACGTGTCAGGAAAGGCACTGTGAAAGGGGGCATGGTGTCTGGTAATGCCATAGGGATCTTTCTTTGTCCCATGTCCTTGTCCCCTGACTGCCCAGGTGACTACACCTGGCCTGAACCAGAACCCAAGACTGAAAAGGCATGGTACCACTGCACTGGGGGATCACTGGGGTTTGGGACTGGTTAACCAGTGGGACTTCTCAGATATCTCCTACAGGTTCTCCACTGGCAAGTTGAGCTGTGGTCTGTTCACGTCAAGGACAGTCGCATCAGCCCTCCAAGCCACATTTGTCCGAGGACACTGACACAAGCCCTGCAGCCCCATCAGATTGCTTGGCGTCTGCACCTCTACGCCTCCAGATCTGTGGCCACATCCAGGAATGGTCCCAGGGCCATACTAATTCCTCAACTGTGCTCAGTATTTTTTTGGAAGTGTGGTAGATGGCCTGAACCACAGATGTCTTGTTGATTGCTCCTGCAGTTTAAGTTGAGACAATGGCATGCCAGTGCCTGCAAATGTCCCCAGCACAGTTTAATTAACCAGTGTGGAGATACCCCAAGGATACAGCACACTGCAGGGGACAGGATTTCTGAGCCTCGATATTCAAAAACTGAGACTTAAAGCACCTCGGAGGGTCCCCGTGGCCAGGGCTGCCCGGCGGGCACAGCCTCCCCAGCCCCGTGAACCACCTGCAGCACAAGCTCCCTCTGCGGCAAGCAGGGCTGCAGCCTGCAGCAGAGCAAACCCCGTTCCCACCACGGGCTACGTCGGGAAACACATTTAGTGACTTTTAATTACCTATGAAGAAGGAAGCATGTGACACTGCTCATGTCCCAGGAACCAGCCCCTTTCCTAATAAAGCCTCTGATGGACTTGACCTCAGCAGGGGACCAGGGTGATAAGCGCTGTTTGTTGTTCCTGCCGAGTTAACATTCCCTGGCTCACAGCGCCGTCTCCAGAACTTGCTCAGCTGATGTTCACTTTATAAAAATAACCGTGGCGCCATGTGTTTTATGAAGTTCATTTTAACCCATTGTCAACAAACCCTTGTGGGCTGTGGCAGAATGAATCCCAGGGATGAGGGAATCAAAATTGTTTGGGGTGAGACAGGGGGCTGAAACAGGAAACGGGAAAAATGCTAAAGGCAGCCACAAGAGCTGCTTTCATACTGGGATTTCTGGGGTGGCAGCCAGGAAGGGTCAATGGTGTCATAACCAGCCTGCAATGCAATGCAAACAGAAACCACCACCCTGCTCTGTGGCACTAAGTGTTTTATCCAGGAATAAATACACTGTGACAGAGACAGACCTGTGCTCCCAGAGCCTCTCTTCCCTCTACAGCCGGCATGTGCAGTGTTTCCTATAAATGCAAATGACCCGCTGAACACAAATGCAGATGACCCAAAATTTCATGAGGACTTGAGATCTGCTGCCCCTAAGGCTTCTTCCCCATCATTCCTGCGCTGTGGCTCCAGCCCCAAATACTCAGGGTCTTGCTAAAGGAAACAGAATAACAATCGTAAAAATGTCTAACTGTTCCCTGGAGACACATAACCTAACCCTTCACAGCTGTCAGAGCACAGCCTCCAATAATTTGGGTAAAATATCTTTTTCTAGCTCAAACAGCTAAGTATACATGAGACTTCCCCATGTTCCTTCATCTCCCAGCTTGGAGATCTTCCTCGCCTTTCCCTCAACATCTCTGATGGAGACAGGAGTGCTTATGGTCACCGCACTCCTGCCTGATGCTGCCCAGCCTCCCAGGAGGAGATCTGCTTCTTGGGATGACTTCAGGGAAATTCAGCTGCAGATACTATAAACCAGGGCGGAAATTACTAAATAAGAGAGTCATGCATCTTTCTCAAAGAACAGACAGACTCCTGAATTTACAGAGCCTTGGACAAACTTTGTGTGTGTGTTTGTGCATAAGTAGATGAAAGAAATAAGCAGGGGAGTCATGGTAAATGCATCTTTCTGTAAAATGCTCAGAATAATGCCATTAAATGTCAAAGCACCATGTTATTTTAGTTTTGCTGCAATTTCTAACCTGGGTGATTCACCTTCATCCTACACATGGAAAAGTCCCGTGAGATTGAGGGATGAGGGAAGCAGCTGCCCCCATGCTGCTCACACCCCATCCTGGTACGCTGAGGTCTCCAGCAGTGGCGCAGGGTCCAGGCTGGGCCTGCCTGCAGAGATGGGAGCAGCTCCTCTATGCACCAGTCCCTCCAGACGCAGCCCAGGTTTGCACTGATAATTTGGAGTCTCCTGGGATCAGCCAAATACAGCGACATGGGCAGGTCCCTCGAAGACAATCCTTATGGAAAAGTCCTTCTCTGGAGGCTCTTTCAGGAGGAAAGTATCCTCCGAATCATTAATACTCCTGTGATGCTGGAGTGCATCCCCTCTGCAAGAACATCACCACAGCCTGCACGAGCCATGCATTGAAGGGTCACCCCTGTGCTCATGCTCAGCACTTCAGTTCCAGTAAAATAGCTGTCAGATCATAACCAGGAGTGCCAGGGCTGATTTTTCTCCTTAACCCACCAGACTGTGCTTGCAGCACCAAAGTGGGGGTTCACAGCCTCATTCAATGCATCCTTGGGGGTGGGTCTCATTTTGCTGTTTCGGAGACTCCCTTTACGGCCAGAAGACACCCAAGCTCTTCCAGACCATGACAGTCAGGTTCCTGAACTCCGTGCTAGAGATACCCTGAAATACCAAGAAGTACCTTCCCATGCCACAGATCCACTATTTATTATTATGTATATAGCCCACATGCAGAGCACTGGGCCAAACGCAGGATGCTCTCTACCCGCCTGTTTACTCTTGCCTCTGTCTGCAGCCAGCCAAAATACTTCAGGCAAACATGCACAGCCCCCAGCAGGGAGACACAGGCTCACAGACCGTCCCATGGATGCAGCCTCTCAGGATAACCCACTCCATGCAAGCAGCAATCCCCTCTTGGGTGCTGGAAGGAGCCTGGCGTGAACAAAACTGCTCCACATCTTTGAAAGGATGATCTGCAGAGAATGTCTCCTGCCTGAATGGATACTGCCCTCTCTTAGCAGCAACAGCAGGTTTATAATGTGAAAGATTTTACCTTCTTCGGCTTCCAGATCCACCAGTGAAGATACCAACACGCCCATCTCCTGACATTTTTTGCTGTGGGCCTTTGACTTCATATGTTTAGTCAGATTCCCTGAAAAGAAGCAGAAAACATAATTTGGTCAACATGGCTCTTTTTTTTTTACTTTCCTTTTTTTTTTTTTTATTTTGCAAGCTCAGCAGTAACAACTTAATAATTTGGCTCTGAACCAGACAAAGGAGGCCTCTGACTCTCTCCCCAAACCACTATCCATTGCAAATACCCCGTGACACAAGGCTAAGTCCTCCCTTTCGTTCCTTTGCTGCTGCTGCACTGGGGTGGAAGAGGAGGTGCTGGCAGAGTTGTGCAACCTTTCAGGTGTTGTGCAACCTGAAAAAACAGTAGGAGTACACGTTTGGGTTTGGAAGGAAGAAAAGTCCTGGATTGCTTTCAGCTGTGATGGTGCAGCAAAGAAAAACGGTGGGGAAGTAGGGAAGAGAAACACATCTGCATCTAGCATCACCTCCCACCTCATCCCAGCACACAGGGTCACCTGCCCAGAGGTGAGGAGCTCCTTAGCACCATGGGGCAGCCTGGTACTACCAAAATGAGTGCTCAAGATGCCAGCAACAGGAAAAAACCCTATAATCACCCTCTTCCCCCAGCAGGATGGCTCAGGTGCTCTGGCATGCACCAAAGTGCCAGGCAAAAGTTCTCAGCTCCTGGGAGCAGGAGGAGTCATGGATACCATCTGAAGCCCTGTGCACCAGGGTCTGGCACCACTGAGAAAACCTGCTGAGCACTAACAAGGCTTCCTCAGGGTCAGGATGGAAAGAGCAGCCCCTGCAAGGGGGAGTCTGGGATGTAGGGGCATTGGTTACTGCTCTGAGACAGTGCGATGGGATAACTTGTGGGCATGCCGGCCTCACAGGGCACCTCTCTAATTCGAACTCCCAAATTACAGGAGGTTAATTAGACAGTTATTAACCCTACTTATATCCAAGGTAAATGCTGAACAAAGGGGAACCTTTGCTGAGGGGGGAAAGGTAAGTACGTGGAATGAAGAGAAAAATAAAGGGTAGGAGAAATAAAGAAAAAATGTCCCATTTTTCCCTTTCCTCTCCCACACCTCTTTGTGGGCTGAGCTGATGATGAGAAGAAACCTGGGTCCTTGCTGAAGTTCCACCAAGGGCTGTTTCATTTCCCAGCATAGCCCCCCAGGAGCTGGCTGAGCACTCCAAATTCGCTGCAGCAATATGATGTGCCATCAGCCCTCCTGTTAGCTAACACTTGAGAGCAGTGCTGAACACAAGGCTTGTTTTTCTCACCAAAAACAAAAGAAAAATTTGAGGAAAAAAATGGATTCTCACACTTTATTATAACCTTCAGCTGAGGACTGAGGTCCCTCAGCTGGTATCCTGCAATCCACAGAGTCCCCCGGTCCCTGAGCTGGGTGGGAGTACAGAGGGCCTCTACCAACCTCTCCGGATAGTATAAATAAATAAGCAACTATTCATTGGAGCAGAGAATTACCCGTGACGCCCTCACATCTCAGAAGAGTGCCATAACCATCTAGCTACCAAGTTAGTTTCTCTTTAGCCCATGAATTATTTATTTAGCCCATTTTATACAAAATGGAATAGCACCAACAGGAAAGACCAAGAGAGGGAAAGGCTGACTATATATCCTTGTGTATCTGGCACCCATCTAGGATGTGGATTCAAAGGATATTTAATAATTTAAATGCAGCAAAACAGCTCCAATAAGAGAGATTTATTATTTTAAAACTTCATGCCTAAATACCCTTAGCTCCATGGTTAGGACACAGGTATGAGGATGAGGCCAGCTTGGCTCAGGTCCTTGCTCCGAATCAGACCTCTCTTCCTCCACTTTGGACCAGGAGTTTTGTTGTGGACCCAAAGACACCCAGACAGACAAGAGCATTCTCTCATGGACACCTCTGGTTCAAGTGAATCACCATTGTTTTAAAGTGAAAAACTGTTTCACCGAAAAGTGTCCAACGAGTCCAAATTGTGGCCTCATGGAACTGGAATTTAATTTTGGACCTAGCTAGCAAAAAGAGAAACTAACTCCGTCTGTTGAAATGAAACCCTGCTGCTGCTGCCTGTCCATCACAGCACATCACATCTGGGCTGGCAAAAATGACCCATCTTTGCTCAGTTGCCACAGCAAAATCCCTAACTGGATCCCCTCCAATGGTAATAAACACAGAAAATAAGCCCAAGTAAATGCCTGGTGTGAGCAGGGGGGTGTTGGTTAAACTATGGTCTGTGGCACCTCGGGAATTCAGCTGTGATCCCCGTGGTGGGAAGAGTGGGGAGAGGAGGCCCACGAGGCATTTTGGTGCTTCTACATCCCTAAACCAAGCTCATAAATTCACTGTGCTACATGTATCTGGCTTTGCCTAACCCGGGAGGGCATAACATTAATTATTTGGGGGGGGGGGGGGGGGGGGGGGGGTGGGACGAGTTTTTTTG